CCGCCGCTCAGGAGACACCCGTAGGGGACTTGCTTGTTTCAAGGTAGGCACCTGACGCCACGTTACTCTTTCTTTCTTCTTTTTCTCTTCTTCTGTAATCTCTCCGTAATCGCTCGTTGCTTCTTCCAATTATTAACTCGCCAAATAGTCTCCGTCTCGTTTATCCGCTATCATCCTCGAGCGTGATTTTCAGTTTGTTTCGCGGAAATTAAAGATCTATTTTCACGATGCATCGTGGAAGCCAGGGATAAACAAAGAATTACGATCGATACTTTGCAGCTCGCACTTATCTACCTGCTATCTTCTTCGAATTATGGTATTTCGAGGGCGATGAGCACGCTTGCGCTGTCCGATACCGTTGCGAGCAAGACGTTCCGCTCTTTTGCTCGTCTTCCTTTTATCATTTTTTACCCGACTTTTTACTCATCCTGGTATCCGGTTAGGTTTGGGTTCGGTTTGATGCCAGGTAAAGGAATTAAAAGAATTACCGAGAAGCATCGTTATTCGAAGGACAAGGGCAATCTATGCCGCGAAGTTTTTGAAGCTGCCTTTGGAAACCTGCACGCGCTTGTTCGATTCTTCGCTGAATTCATTTGAATCGGTTGAATCGGGAAATAGAAATAGGTTCATCGAGATTTCGATCTAAAGACATTCGTTTAAAGCGAACGCGCGACTTATCTTTTTCTTGATACAATAGAGTCGAGTCAGAAAGAAAGGTCCGTAGCTGAAAGAGTTTGAAAGTTTTGTTTGGATCGTAGAATCCTCGTTGACGTAGCGACACGTGGGTTGCATACAGTCGAGTAAGGCCCACTATTCACGAAGCATCGCTTCGTAGACGCGTATTAGACACGTTGATGCTAACAGTACGTTTCGATGAAACAACGGTCACTGTAAAGTAACGTGCACCTGTCCACGATACAGCGAATCGTTTTCGTCATGACGACTGACGTTAACATTGTCAACAGCGAGGCGTACGTTGCCACGCTGTAAACGAATGTAGTGATATGGGATGAAAGCATTTTCCACATCGCCTGACATTTTAACAACGAGACAAAGTGTAACTTCCTATACGCTTCGTATGACTGAACACAGAACCGGCGTAAACGTATCGTCACGTCTAATAAACTACGCTTACGCTTCTATGAAGCGACGCTTTGTGGATAGTGGACCTAACTGCTCAATTAGTAACGCATGCAACTATGTCTCGGCCGATCGAAGAACGTTGTATCGAGAGATAAAATACAGATAAGCGTTAATTATTCGAATCGATCGAGTAAATTTTTAATTACATAGGTACATAGTTTGAAGCGGTGTAGAAACATGAGCACCGAGTGTCAAGCGTCTTAATACCGTTACTAGAAAGTAGCTTCGATTGCTTGCAAGTAGAATGAACGAAAAAAAAAAAATGGTCCAGTGAAAGTGTCGCAGTAGTGTGTCGGATTCGGTTGTGTTTGCCTTTATGTAACCGAACGTGTGAACGACTCACGGTGCCCGCCGCTGTTTTGCATATTGTACGGATTTCAATGTCCGCTGCGGCACGTGCATCACGCGGATTTCTAAGTCCAAATGCTCTCGCTTCTTTGAACCGATTCAAAACATACTCGGGGCTTTATTAACATAACACGCGACCCGCGACGCAGTAAGAAAGATGGCATAGCAGCGGAAACCGATTGGATTTCAATAATTCAACTTCACCAGCTATTATCCAATCGTTATCGATCGCGATTTACATACACTTCCAGCCTATCTTTCTATCTTTCTATCTTCAGCCCAACAACATCTTTTTGCTCTATCTGCGCGAATAGGTCTAGGTCAGACAACAGTTGGGTCTAGGTCAAGTTTAAGCACGGTGTAACAGCGATTTTCACTTTCGATCTTCTTTCGTTGAATTCATTTTATTTCTCTGTCAACCGGATATTTCCTTTCTTATAGTATGCGCTATTCTGTTTTATTATCTGTTTCATGATCGTGTTAAAATAGTTATTTCGTATATCGTACGTCACGCTCCCTTTGATCTTATACGCACGAGCACGCAGATGGCTATCTGTGGCTGCTAGCGAAATTGCATTACAGTACACGAGGCGTTAGTTAATTAACAAGAGGTCGCGCAAAACCTCGCTGCTCGCGGACCGTTCTCCAACGATGTTTTCGCAATTATAGCGCGCATCGATGCCACCTTTCTGTCACTCTCGCAACAGATCCTCGATACTTGGCTACGCGAGCGTCGTTTATGCATGGAATAGAAATCGATGGAAATAAGCGTGTATTAGTGCGATAAAAACAGGAAAAAGATAATCACACGACACAGTCGACGTATCACAGGCTATAGAAATTATTTTATCGTCGATCTACTTACTACCACGAGTTTTGCGAGTTAAAACTTGGAAATCGAATTTGGATTAATCTAGAGTTCTATGTTATTCAACGTAGAAAAAAATATGACGATTCGAATGATTTATAACGGATGCCCAATAAATTATAGATTCAAACAATTTAGTCAATTACGGTTCTTTTTACGCAACCGAGAGATGACGTAGGGTCAGTTAGGTAATGAATTAACGTTTTTTCCTTTTATCGAAATGGAAAAAATCAATGACACATGACAGAGACTTGAAAGTATACATATAATAACAGAGTAATGATTTATTGATAAAGAGAAAATGTATGTATGTAGCGTATCTTGCGTCGCAACATCGTTAGAACGAGACACGTTTTGAGCACGTTTCCTACTTTTCCCCGATTGATATATCGTGACATGTAGAATCATGAAGGAGAGACGAGCACGTGTAGTCTGCATATAAACGCACATTGCGTCGAACTTGGCCAGCTTAACGGGAATGTAAAATATCTTTCTTTTTTGTTAATAGATTAAAAATTCGTATGGGATTATTCCTGTTTTAATACTTAAAGATCACTTGTTAAAATGTGCAGCTACAGATCTGTTTCTCAATTTTTTAAATGTCAAGGCTTCCTTTTTTTTTGTCACAAACTTATTGCGTCTAAAACACATTTTTTCTTCAATGACGTCCCCAAATTTTCTTACCGATTCCTTTCATTCGAATACAAAATTAGAAAATCATAAATCAGAGTAAAGTTACTTTCGTATTCGTTTGTTCCTTAAGGGAAAAAATAAAACAGCGTAGAAATGTCCTTTGTATTTGCAATAATATTCAGATTTATGAAAAGATACAAAATTTATTAATGAATACTTCTCGAACTCAGAATGATAATTTTAATAGACAGTAGTAAAACAATGCGGGGAAAAAGCATCGGCGTATTCTGTCACGAAAGTTCGCAAGGATAACTATTTTTATTTACTGATAATTATATAGGAAAGTTGTTTATATATAATATCCCTTTCCAATAACATTTTTCTTGATAATATAATTTTAATGTCCATAGTATTGCATAGGAACTCGTATAAAAACGAAACCGTATTTCAAATGCAGTTAACCTCAAAATCATAACATTAATTTTATTTTTCCAACTGATCAGGAATGCATAACTTTTTTTTACTCAAAATCTAACAAAGATAACTTTTCGTATCATGTACGCACATTTCTTTATAACTAAGTTTACTTGATTCTCTAATTCTTATAATACACTCTGCAAACATACTTCAATACATAATATAATAGTGAAATTAATAAAAATTCCCATTGTCTATAACGTAAATACTATTGTGATTACATATATTATCATTACATTATATTGACTGATATATCAAATATTACAGTGAATGAACAAGAGAAGATGCCTGGCCACCGTCAGCCTAAGTCCCTAGAGAGACTTAGTTTGGGACGTGTGTGTCAACAACTCGACGGGACGTGCCGCAGGCTGCAGGTGCTTTCACAAGAATCATCTGCTGCACAAGTATTGGCATACGCAAAGCAGACCATTAGACCTTACTACATAAATGCCTTGCCAGCACGTTTGAGGTCTCAAGTTATCGAAGAAACTTCAAAAATGTTATATGGGCCTGCATCAGATGGATCAACTTTAATTTCTGGCCCAGCTCCTTTATACTTATTAGCCCTTCTTCTTGGACACGATATAAAACAGTTAAAAGTGAATCTCTGCTGTTATTATGGATGCAGCCATCAGACATCGTTACTAAAGCTACTTGCATCAGAAGGAATTGGACTTGAATCTTTAGAGCTGGCTCGTTCAGCTTTATTAAGATTGGACTGCAAATTATTAAGATGTGCTCTCTTAAATATGAAGAATCTGATGAGTTTAACTTTACGTAATATAGCCAGTGATGTAGTGCTTCAAGTAGTGGGAAAAGCTTGTCCAAAACTTGTACACCTGGATGTAGCTTGTTCCAGACAAGTAACAGATGTAGGATTGAAGCAATTACTGTTACAAGTAGAACTTAGAGACAAGGTGCCCCATACTGCGATGCAAGAACCTACTAGTTGGTCCCGTTTAAAAACATTGCTTTCAAAATTGAAAATGAGAAATTCTAAATCAGAGAAAAAGGAGAAGCAAGGAGTACTTTTGGAATACTATGAAAGCAGAAACTTTCTCTGTGATACGCTCAGAGTACTTAACGTCGCTAACACTGGTGTAACTAGTACAGGAGTACTTCTGGCTTTGGTACATGTTCCACAGTTGGAATCTCTAGCAGAATATAGCCATATGGGAAGAGTAGTGGAAATTATGAACAAAGGACTCATTGGATTTAAAACTCCATTTAGTCTAACTCAAGCAAGAAGTTGCAGAACAACACCAGTTCGTTTAGAACTTTTAGCACAGGCATGCCCAAGAGTTGAAAAATTACATATTTCAGAGCCTCATCATCCTCCTGAGGCTTTGAGATTATTTCCCTATGTCACTTCCTTGAGCGTGCACAGTATACCATCTCAAAGAGAATGGTTGGATGGTTTTTACGATTATCTTCGCACTAACGGTCACAATCTACGCGAACTTAATTTGAGAATAACGCAAAACGAAAATCCTATTCAAGTTGATTTAAAAGAAGTTTTTAGTAATTGTTCTAATCTTAGAACGTTTACTAATGATGGATCAAACATAATTTGGACAGAAGGTGCCGATCCTCCTCCACTGAGATATTTGAAGAAAATTCAATTAGGCCGTATAGTAAGTGCTGTTGCTATTACAAAACTTCTTTCATTAGCACCAGAGTTAACAGCACTACATGTTCATAGTTGTTTTGATCTCACTAATGAACACTTGGAAAAGTTATTAAGTATATCGAACAAACACAAAAATCCAAGAAAGTCTGATAAGTGTGAAAATAGTTTAGTACAAAACCTAACGTGTTTTTACATATACGAGGCCAGTAAGGTATCTGCAACTACTGTACTGAATATGTTTAAAAGCTGTAAAAGACTGAGAAAGATTGGAAACTTGGCAAATTGGGGTTTGGATTGTGAAGGTGTAAGGATGTTAAGAACAACATTAACTCGCGCAAATTTGGACGTGGATTTATGTCCAGGAGCTCATTGGTTTTGTGGTAATTGTATCCAATAACAGATTTTTTCAAACTTCTATGTAACAAAAACAGCTTTTTAAAAATCCTGTCCATGACATAATCGGCTGCTGTTTAAATCTGTTATACTTTAATAGACTGTAAAATTGTCAGTATTAAAAATAATGTTAATAAATATAAGAAAATTTATATTTGGATAAACGCAAAGATACGTTTATTATGTAATTAAACAAATATAAACATAATCGCAACTGGTAACAGTAATTGGTCGTCTTAGCATCTTATAACAAATATATTTTTGCTGCGTTTAATAAATTCAGATTTGATTTTGTATGATTATATACTTTGTTACGATTATAAATACTAAAATAATATTCAACAATAACATACTAAATATTAAATAAAAAAACTATATTACTATCTCACGTTGCAGTAACTTACTTTATAGCAATAAGATTAACAAATAAATCAAAATATATGATATGAAATATATGATTTCTTATACTATAAAATATAACTATATTATGTATTGAGTTAAAAAAGTTCCGTTAAAGAAAGTAATGCCAGTAAATAAGTGACATGATAAAATATATAAAAAATAAATAAATAAATAAAATGTATTTGTCTTAAGTATAAGTTGTACTACTACTACTTTCGAATCGTATATTAATAATTACATAAAAATTTCGAAAAGAAAAAAGAGAAAAATTGATTTGTGTTGAATGATCCGATATAGTTCGAACTTAGTACATACGTATCAAATTGCAATAAAACATTTTTGACAAAAACATTTCGATTATCTTTACTTACCTCTGTTAAACCGTGTGATTGCAGCAAGAGATTAATGAGTTTAGTGTCCGTTTGAAAAATTTTGTAGGTCATATGCAATTTCTTCGCGGGTGGTTCTTCCGGGGAACTTGCTAATGCAGAGCATCTAAAGAATAATAAAAAAATAACATACATTATATATTCTGCGACAAATATTACATATTACATACAAAAAATGCAATATAAAGAGATTTTTTACTCACTTGAAACGCAAAATAGACTTGTTACCACTTGGTCCACTTAATAACCATTCGTTGTGTTGCGGAATTGCGTCTTTCGTTGTGCTGCAAAGTATTTCACAAGCTATTGTACACAGCGTAACTTAACAAATGTACTCCGTTTAGCAATTTAGCGCGCGATAATCAAAATATTTGAAAGGGCGGATACTGGAACTCGCAAAAATTTCGTTCTTGCAATGCAGCGCCATCAAAGTTATCGGATGTCGGTAAAAAAGAAACCATATGATCTACATATATATTTCAATACGCTTGAAATTTTTCATATTCCAATCTGATTTTCCGCAAACTATATTAATGGATATTTTAATACGTTCTTTCGCAATTATTTATTTCATTCGAAAATAATTCGCTCTTATTTAAAGATATTTAATCATTATACATGATGTTTTGAAAAAAATTTACGTCTTTTTTAATAAAACGAAATTTGAGCATTTAGGTAACTTACCTTTCCATCGTTTCCAATTTGTGCGGCTTATGTACAAGAGGCTCCAAGGTCTCCTCGCTGCTGTTCGATAATTGTGACATACCGGAAAGACTGGAAGATGACATTAATTCTTTCGGTCGTTTCCCTTCCAGTTTTCCAGTGGTATTGGTCTTCATTTGAGACAGCATAATTTATCTGCAATGTTACAATAACGATCTGTTTCATTCTCAATCGTAAACTTGGCGAGGGTAAAATTGAATAGAAAACTTTCTCGACGACGCGTCGCAGCGGATAATGTCAGTCTCGTTAGTGACATGTAAAAAGATAACGTGTTTAGCGTTAACGATAGAGCACTAGCGTAGCCATAGTTTGCGGTTTTCTCATTGTTTCGTTCAGGGGGATTTGCAAACGCGTTACCACCGCGTATTGACAGAAACGTCGATAACTTGCATCGAAACGAGTACGAAAGCCAACGGGACAAACTTTTACGGTCTGGCGTTAGCTAACATTCAATAAGTCGGCGGAATAAATAGACATACGAGTCGAAAGGGCGACTGTGGTGCACATAGAAGTATAAATAGTTTATTCACCTTATTCTGTAAGATTTATCGGAGGAATAAGCTTATCGTACGAAATAGGCTCGTGCAGGCTGATCCTAACGCGACAACGTGAAAGATTGTTCTTTAGTATGTAGGCTGTCACGCGAATTTTATATATTTTGCCCCGAGAGTCACAACAGATCGAGATATGCTGCAGCATAACGTTCTATAGGATATTATAGATATTATGTTTGCGCGCTTTTTTCTTGACAATGTTATCCATGTCATTCACATTGTTCAGAATTTGTTAATCTATTTAGTTTCTTTTTATCATTCTGGAAAATTTAGTAACGTACGTCACCTATAACCGCCGTGGCAGTAGACAAGTTAATAAAGAATTACGCATATTATATCGATCCGTGTATAGTTACGTGCTTATAGACAAACGATCGATTTTTCAGTGCTGCGTTATCCTGCATTTTGCTCTTCTGCCGCTGGAATGTTAATGGGCAACAAATATAACCGCGACGTGGTTGCACCTTGAATCTTGCCAGACTTACTAAGTTTATATAGGTAATCGGATCAAGGTGCGCTATGAAAGAAAATTAAAAATTAAACGACTCGAGCGTATTCGACGTTGCGACTATTTGGCAAGTTGCATGACTTGGATGTTATTCTCGTAATTACGCCACGGAAATAACTTGTGTTCGAAGACCACGTCGAAGATATTCTAAATAGCATTGACGTTACATGTCTGAAATGTCGAACGCCACATCGACCGGTCCGATTGATCTTTCTTCGAATATAAAATACGTCCATCGTTTTATAAACGAGCTTGTTTATTATTTAACGAGCCGAGATGTTTCTTTGAATAACTCCCGCCTCTTTGCTTCTCTTCATTCTACTTCTCCGAACAGTCTGTAGCACAATGATGCAAGAACGTTCAAAATCGCTTTATTATGCGACCGCGACCTTGAGGAATCTCGAGTTTGCGAGTCGTTGAACTCGTTTCGAAACCGGTTGCAATTACGCCGGATAAAAAATGTAAATGAGATAAAAAATGAAATTATTCTTAAAATCTTCTCTACTACGCTCTATATTAAATTATTTTTTTTTTTAGCAAGTTTTAGTTATTTCCAACTTTTTTTTTATTTTTGCGCTTTAGAAATCTCTATAAGGATTCCATAATGCAGCAAAAAAGAAAAAAGATAATAGTATTGTAAAAAGGGCGTTATCGTTAAATAGATATTTTTCAAATATGTACAGTGTACACGTTTGTTTCGTGCATTACGTACGCATGATATGTAGCCATTAGAAGCACGCACGTACTCGTAGGTGCTTACCGAAAAAAGCAGAATTTATCGTGTGGTTACGGTACCCCTTGCTATTAACCGGAATGAAAAGCAGGTGACAGAGGAATGGCCGGTGCATGAGTCACTATCATGATTTTCGTGATCGTTGTGATATGCATAACAACGAGGGCGGAGTTATATTCGTATGCAGGTTCGTTTATTTCGTTCAAATTAACAGAGATCGTTTACATAAGAGCATTCCCGCGTTTGCTTACTTTTGACAAAATCGATATGATTATGAAATTCGATTTCAATCGTTATAACCCGAATTAAATTGAATTTTTTCAATCTTTATCCTCAGACTCTCTAACTTCAGATTCCATAGAAATATGGCAAATGTACTACACATGCAATCTCCGATTCGTCATGTAGAAGCAAAATCAGCAGTAAAAAGAGCCAGAAGATTTGTCGATTCGTTGCCAAAAGTTCACTTGTCGCGTGGCAAGTGCAACGAACGCGAGAGAAAAAAGGAAATGTGATATTTGCAGCCAAGAGTTCGATAAGTGTCGAACAACAGCAAATATCGTTCAACGAGGACAAAACAAAAGCGTCGGGCTGGATTTGACAGATGTCAAAATTTCTAGTCTTTTCACACGACATCTTTAACGCGGTAACACTCGTGCGGCAAAAATTAGCAATAAACGAAGACCATCGATCATCGAGCCCAGAGAAATTATTCACGACATCCTATCGAGAGACAATGTGAGAACACGCGCGCGTACCAATGCCAGAGATGGAAACGCAACGAGAATGGACGAACTTGCAATTACTCCAGAGCCCATTAGGAAGCGTGCCAGAATTGGTAACAAGTGCGATGCGCAGACTGTGGTTCCGACATCGTTTTCGATCGCAAGAATCTCATCCTTACCGGTCGAAATCATCTTGCAAATATTCTCCTATCTCTCCTGCAAGGAGCTTTACGCCGTTAGTCAAGTGTCCGTGCTCTTCAACCGGCTCGCTTACGACCCGTTTCTATGGCGAACTTACGAGGTACGATAATCGACCTAATCCTTTCTAAACACAGCAATATATAAGCTACGTTGGTATATACATATAGACGGCCGCGTTAACGCTATAACGAGGAACTGAATAATCTAACCATAAAAATAAAAGTGCAATAAGTAAAAGTGTAGATCTCTTCTAGATAGCTTAGTCTCTTTCAATGCTAGTACTCCATGCAATTATACGTATATGTGTATGTATTATTTATTGCAGCTTAGGTTATCATTTATTATAATTTGTCAACTATACGCTGTATATTGCTGGCTGGTTTACGCTTTCTTCTATCTTATTTTTATTTCTTTCCTATCCTCAAAGACTAATTAGCTTAAGTTCATACAGCTAATTGAGTTTACATTTACCTATATGCTTAATCTTACGTTTACTTTATTAAATTTACGTTCACTTAGCTTATATAACTAATAGTGGACACGTATGTTATGGAACATTTATCTGCAGAATGCTTATTTACTATACCTACTTCTTGTATTTATTAAGAATATTATGAAGTAATAACCATCTGTGTGTGACTCATACATTATATCACTTAGATTTGCATCTATTTGATACTATACGTGTATGTAAGCAAACGTGTGTCCAGTGTTATTCTGTGCCCCTGAATTTATTTCACTCATTTCTGTAGAATGCTCTTAATTTCATTGTTTCTTGTGTGCAGTAAAATAGTCTTCTGGTATCATCTTCACTTTGTACTGCCAATATCTCTTCCACTGTTTCTTTTTCTTATAAATGCACTGCTCTTATTTGTTCATACAAAGGGCATTCTAATAATATTTGCTCTATGTTTTATGCTTTGTCCCTGTTGCACAATGTGCATATTTCCTGCTTCTTTATTGTTTGATTGTATTCTCTTCTTCTTTGTGTGATATATTTTCTTTCACAGTTATCGGTTCCCTGTACTTCCAATAGTTCCCTATTGTGTGATATGTATTCTTTAGTATCCTGATTTAGTAAAAAAAAAAATTCGCGTTTCTATCCCTTCAGATATCTTCTTATCCATTTTTAGACACTTCATCCCTAAAAAGCGCGGGACACAGAAGAAGTTTAAGGAAGGCGAGAAGGTTAAAAGTCGGAGAGTCCACCAAGAGAAACCTACGAATGGAAAGAAGCATTTGTTCGATTTCTGTTTTTTATTCTTAGATCTCTATCTTTATTCCCAGGTGACAAGCAACGAACAAGACACGGCCGAGGTGATCAAGGAGCTGAAGAGGATGCCGCTGCTGAAGAAGTTCAGCATAAGCGTGAGACCAGATTGCGACGAGATCCTGCGGCAACTCTCGCTGACGAACAAAAACTTGGAGGAACTGCACATTTCTAATTGCACAGGTTCTATTCGGTCTATGCATCGTCGTCAGCTTTTCTCTCCTAATTAAGTTTCTTTCTCCTTTCTTCCTCCGACGTGGTCTAGTATTGACAGAGCTGGGAAGAGACAGAGAACCTTTGGCTCGAGTTCAAAAAACTCTGCCCGACTGAAATCTTTTTACCTCGTTTTTCATCCCTTTTCGTCTTCCTGCTTCTCGATTTTCCCTCTTCTTTCTTCTCGTTTCTCCTCAAATATGCCGAGTCCGCCGTTCTAAAAAACGGCAAACATGATAAAAGAGAAATATACGAACGTAAAATGGAATCAAGGAGAGAGAGAGAAAATAGTTTGGCCACTCGTCAAACAAGAAACAGAACGCGGTCCTCTGTTGTTACCATTTCTCCTAATGGCGCATCACTTCTTCGGTCTTCTTTCGCCGCGTTTCTCTCTGCGAAACTTTGCTTTCGTACCTCTTTTGTCGTGCATTTCGTTGGCCCTTTTTATACGTTTTCGTGCGCCAACAATGCCGCCACGCAGTCACAAAGGGGCAGAAAATTTCTATCGATTTGCGGGCTCTGCTCGTGTATGATTCACGGATAGGATGCGCCGTTTGACCTGGCAACCGTGTTTACCACGGCTTTGACGTAATTAGTATTCCGAACACGTTCCGTTGCATTGGCCTGCAGTACAGGAAAAAGGACGAACTCGAAACTATCATTTAAATCACACTCTTCCATTTTTTTCCTCCATCGAGGCGCGTTAAATTGCCCCGATCAATAAGGAGCGATTGACTCGAAGTCATCATTATCGGAAGATCTGCATGAATTCCTCTCACGAGCGAAGCAACGCAGAATGCAATTCACGTTTTTCGCAATCAGTTTCATTCGACATTCCATCCACTACCACCACCACACCGGTCGTATTTTATTTGCGATACTGCGACGATAAGTTTCTAGGCAACAACATAAACGCGACAGTATTTGCATTCAATTTTAATGGTTAACGATGCCGGGTGCGAAAATACAGCCAGTTCGTTTTGCATACATCTCCATACTGACGTACGAACAAACGAACGAACGAACAACTTCCGCGAGAAAATTAGCAGAAAAAATGCACAGTGGAGTACTTTATCCAAGGAGGTTGATAAAAGTCTATCTATAGGTAATAGAACATACTTATTTCATAGAATTTCTTCTAATTCCCTCTATTCTCTATTTTACGAGAGCTCTACATCGTATAAAACACAGAATCCAAATTAAAATAAAGGAATTTCGATCAGCTAACATAAGTTAAACTCGTATAGATCAATTACGGTCTAACAGTACCAATTGAGGATTAATGATGTTCACTGTACATCGTACGATAGCTACGACAAAAAAGAATTCGTCCGGTTATCAAAATCGCGATAGCGTCGCTATCTCTGAACCGATGATAGAGTAAGAGAAATATTCTGCTGCAGGTTCCACGTCGAAATTGTACCTACGCTCGGGATACCTGATCCGCATACTGGAGAGGTGCCGTAATTTGCACACGATCAATATACTAGGCAGCAGATTCCGCGGCCAGAAGTTCTATCAACTGTTGGGCGACATGGGGCCGCAGCTGAGGTCTGTCTACGCGCCAGCCACGAAATCCCAATTCTACACGTTCATCAAGTTCGCGAAACAGATCAGCGAGACCGATCGCTTGACAATCGCCTCCATGTTCTACATCAACACGAAAAGTTGGGCGCCCTTGTACTACTTTGTCACGAAAGGAGCGGATCGGGTTTGCACGGCTCTGATCAGCTATCTTCACAACGACATCCTGCTGAGCGACGCGAATCGATCGATTCATAAACTCTCTATCACCGAGCGTAGAAACACCTGACTAACAAGAATAGTTTTAGATCGAATCTATCGTTCTGTGCCACGAATCGTACGTTCGAGCAACGATACACAATGGAACGATAAAGATACGATAAAGTGAGAGAACACGTACACGTGATTTTGCGATATTCGGCAGCGAATATAATAAGCGTCATGTCGTTGTATCGTACAAATACATGTGTACATAAATGTGTACCCTTGTGTTCTGTTTTTATACATTTTCTTTCACTTTAATCGTTCTTACGATCTAGAGCTGCAGAGTAATCACGAGGCGATCTATGTGGGTCGATCCGTACGCGAATGCTAGCCGACACGAGTGCAAGCTTCCGTGAGCTTTAAACGGGAAATCAAATGGAAAGCCTGGGGCGGTAATACGAGGCTAATGAGTTCTGAATGACGGGCTAGACGTTTTGTCAATAATAACACGACCCGCTTGATTCCAACCGATTTACAACGAAAGCAAAGTAAAAATTCAGGTGAACGCGTCACGCGAGAAAAAAAAAGAGAACTCCCTCGACGATGCTTCTCTCGGGGAAAGAACAACTCGTCGCTAATAAATCTCGACAGATCGAATGACTGCCTGGCTGAATGAACGACTCCCAAGCGAAGGAAAAAATATTCCGTTCTCGTTCAGGCGTGTTTCTATAGTTGCGAGTCTATTCAATTAAGTGGATTGTTAACGGCGCGAGAAGCTCGATTAATGGGCGTCGTTAATCTCAATTTTCGACGGCTAATTAAAATCAAACTTTGGCGAAATTCGCGAGACACGCGATCGACCACGGCCATCTCGTCGATCGATTTTCATTACGCAAACGGGATAACAAGTTCCGCTAAAATGTTGGCGATCTTGGTTCGTCGACCCGGACGCTTCCTGTTCTATAATCATTTGCATAGAGCCAGCTAGCATGTCCGCTAATAGTCACGGTTTATCGGACGAGTGTTCGCGCGTTCGACAATAATATTTTACAGGTAATTTGCGGATGTTCCGGCACGTTTTCACGACGCGAGCTAGGAAACACGCGGCTCCTGCGGGTAGCAATTTCTTAACAATAACGACCGTGAACGTAGACTTCCGTTTATTAACAGCAACCAGCCGAGCTATTTTTGTAAACTCAACTTACGCCGACGAACGATTAAATGTCCCATTATTATACGATTTTTTTGTTTCCTCGAGCGAGAGAATGATTCGCGAAACAAGAATTCTTTTGAATATTTTTGTTTCCATATCCTGTATCTGGGTCGAAGTTAATTTTCTGCTTTCTTTCTTAATTTAATTTCCATTGAACTACGGTCGTCTTGCTCTGTAATTTGCTAAGTAACGATATTAGTGAATTGGTAAACGACAAACTATGTATATAGGTTACGCCGCACTTCTGTTGCTCGATTCTACGTCCAATTTAATAAGAACGCTTAGCTATATCTCTGTCTCAGTAAAAGTAAACGTTAATATTCTATTAGCAAAAATAACTCGCTTATTATTAGTAATTGCAAGGTATCAAAAAATCTGATACTACTCTTATTCGTGGTTCTAATGTAAAATTTCCTCTTGAATGGGCAAACGGTCCGGAGGGAAGCGAGAGGGCCGAGTGCCTTGTCGAAAGAGAGAAAAAAAGAAACAGCTCGTAGCGTAAAATTATTTTTGTACGATCGTGCGCAATAAATCGGTCTCATTGTGAAACGCGGTATATTCCGAGGAAAAGCACGTAACAACTGACCAGCTAAATGAACTGCGGTTGAGTCTTAATCCGCCTTGCACTTGCCGTTAACGCTTGCCTCGCATTCAGAAACGAGAACAAAGAAAAGGCAGACGTATCGATTGGGCTTGTTTTCGATTTCCGGCGTGCACACGGGAACGCGAATGGCACGCGTATTGTTCGCATACAGAGGATCGCGGATCAGGAAGTGGTTTCGTTCGTTAAAACGCATACGACTTTCCTTGACTTTTCTCCGGCTATTCACGCAACCGTGCACGCATCGAAATCGTTAACGAGCCGCGAACAGTTATGAACAGCCGATGTTTACGTAAGTCGGAGCACGCGGAATCCTCCGTTTCGTTTCGCAGCAAAAAGAAGATCCAGCCGGCGAAACGAACGTGAAAATTCGAATTATCACGAAACACGCTAACAGTCAATTAGAAATTCTAATCCGCCGCTCTTATATTTATTAAATGATAAAATAAGCCACGAAAGTTTGCAATAGATAATACGACGTACGCGTGTGTGATGCGGCTATTGTACGCGCGTGTACGTATCTTTGCTCGTACGGTAGTTGATACGAGACTGCCAGAATGCGATATTACCGTGTATCATATCAATGGTCATCGATAACAGATCTCAATATCGTTTCGAATGATCGTGATACGATTAATTACTCCTCTTTTTTCGTACAAAGATACTAATTCTCGTTTGCCCATACGACGATTAAAGTGTGCTAGTATTATAAGTTAAATTATGTCACAATAAAGACGTGCCTTCGAAGAGACGTTTATTCGTACCTTTTCTTCCTTCCATCCATCGAGCTTATGTGCAAATTTTAAGCCAGACCTTTCGAAGCCTGCTGTGGCCTTGAGGTTATTTATTATGTTCGGTACTTTGAATATCCTATCTCTACTCGACCTATGGTAGAAATCTCTGTATAATACATACCCCGTTAATCTGACGGTCTTTTTCATTCGAAGGTCCTTGCGCTCCAATAAATTCGGATCGGCCAAGATCCGCAGTGCCACCTTTTCGGATAAAGTAAATAAGGGAGGAAGTGTAGGTCGAGCGTAGCGCACTTTCCAACATTCGAATCGATAAAGGCGTGACCCAAAAATGTACCTTCCCGAAGGAAAATGGGTAACGCGTGTTTAAACGTTGGACGAATGACGCAATTAGCGAGTAATTAAATTGCAAGGTGCGAGTTCCTACTTTACTTGGTAACGAGCGCGGTAACACCGAGGGCAGACACGCCTGTCCAACGTACGAGTCAAAATGAACGTGGAAAGTGGAGCTTGCGTTTGACATTAGTAGGAAATCTACGTCATTTTTCTGTACCGCGTCTGAATTATGCGAAAAGAAAAAAAACGAGTTTTGCATGTTTTCGCAGCATAGCCTTTCGGTTTCGCCGTTTGCCAGGTCTGCAGTGCGCCTTGGCTGCTCGACGAAAGCTTGTCGGTTCAACTGGGGAAAAAGTAAGCCGCGCCGAGATACGGTAACCTTCGCCATATAACGACATCTGGAATTAACCCTTTCGAAATTAACGGGACTACGTCCCAAGGTAACTTTCGCGAAGATACGTGTACACTACCGTTCAAAAGTATCCGGACGCCTACCTTTGACAAGATGTGTTTTAATTGCAAATACGAAGGATACAAATATTTTCGCAATAAAACGCTTATCACGCGACTAAGCTGATTTTCAAAAGCTAATACGTGATAATAAAAATACGTCTGTAATCGTGGAATCTTGTAGGACTATTGGGTCGCCCGGAAAGTTCGTTCCGATTTATATGGGGGTCATCCCATAAGTTCGTGCCGACTTTTGTGTATACATCTCGTGTGTTGAATTATAAACATACGACGATAAGGGATCAATGCACTTGAGCTTAGCTGATCGAGAACAGGCTA